CCCCCTCCCCTCCTTCCCGAAGCCTCTGGAACTACCGATGTGCAGACACCTGAGCAGAATTAATGAAAACTCCTGCTGGGCCCCCAGGTGCTGGACCTGGGAGACCAGGTGAATCAGTGACGGCTCCCGCCCTGGCGGCTCCCAGCCCGGCAGAGGGCAGCTGGAGGTGCCGACGGGGCCCTGTGTCTGCAGCGTGCTGGGGGAGCCAGCTCACCTCGGGGTGCTGTGGGGGGTTCCAATTCTTGCCTAACGTGCGCGCAGCTTTTCTCCGCGTGTGCCTCAGTTCATCTGGTGTTGAACTGGATCAGCTACTTTCAACCTTTTTCACCTCATGGTACATAAGCCAATTACTAACATTCTGCAGCACATCAAAAGTATATATTTTTCCTGACCTGACAAAAAAAAGGTGTAATTTTGATTTATTCACACCCGATGGCTATTGTGTTAGTTGTTGTCATTTTTCTATCTGACAGTCGAAGGGAAAAGCGGTCAGTGCCCTGACTAAGTAGCCTGGTACTGCATGTTTTAAACACTCTTGCGGCCACCGGTTAGAAATCGCTAAACTAGATAGTTGGTTTCAAATTCCATTCTGTGTCTCCATGTCTGTGCCACTGGAATTGCGCTGATTAGTAGATGAGGTCCTGTGTCCGGAAGAAAGCCAGGCACCGCCACAGAGGGGTCTCCCATACCCGCTCTATTGCAGGGAATTCCTGGTTGGGTGGACAGGGGGGCAGGATGTGTGGAGGTTCTGAGCCTCCTGCTCCCAACTTCAGCTGGATCAGCTCCAGCTCCACTTTTAACTGTGTCCTTGACCTTACAGAGCTAGTTCCACTTGAATAAACGAATTCATGACTATTAAAATCGGAAGGCCACTGATGACCACGGTAGTTGTGCCCATGACACCCCGGACTCACAAGGTCTCCACAGAATGGGTCGTGTGGACATATAAACTTGGAAAAGGCCTCCAGGCATATGAGGCTGTTGGCAACTCGCAGCATTTGAGTGGGTATTAGGCACATTGCAAGTGATTAACAAGAGGCTCTCTGCAGGTGAAGAGGGAGACGCCTTGTAGTGTTTGCCAATTCCTGTGGTGTAAACTCTCCCAATATGGCAAATGGCCAATGCCAAGTAGTTAAAGTGAAATCTCTGAACGCAGAGTTTGGGAAGAGGTGCAGGAACTGGCTTTGGCACATCACTGCTGACGGCACCAATGCATGAGCCCACTGTCTTCCCCCTTTGGGTGCAGAACCAACCAAGATAGAGAGTCAGGAGGCAGATGGAGGCTACAAGGTCAGTCTTATGAAAGCGGGGTGAGTGGGCTGCTAGGTGGGATTCTTGTCAGATACCTGTCTCTCTAATTCTAGAAGCACGTGCTTCCCTCCACCGATGTGGGGCCCAGGCATGTGACGTGCTTTCTGTCCCGAGCCGAGGCCTCGAGGGCCTCCTGTGCTTTGCTTGTCCTGTTGTGCTTGTGCCCTCGCTATTAGAGGTCCCAGCCCGCTCGGGGCCAGGAGAGGCGGCACCGAAGAACGGCGCTGCCTCAGCACTCACCCAGGAGGGGTCCCCTCGGCAGCCTCGTAGATTCCTGAGCGGAATAAAGGACTTTAGGTGGCATTACTGGGCCTTAGGTAACTTATTCAGAAAATGGCGTGGGAAGCTGCTGTAACAGTCCTCAGGCATGCAGCATAGGTTTGGAACTGGGCAGTGAGGAGATTTAGAGAAGGTTAAAAGTGGCAGAAAAGTGGTGACCCGTGCTACGTGGTGAAGGAACGTTTGGCAGCATTGTTGTGCGTGGTGGTCTGGGAGGAGGAAACGTACCTGAGCATTTATGGACTTGGGCAGCGTTTCCAGGGACGGCCTTGTGACACTGAGCTTCTTCAAGCCATAAATGACAAGGTGCTTCAAGTAAAAGATGAGTTCAGAAAGGAACCCGCCGTTCACATGTAGAATCTAGAAAATAAAGTGATTTCTCATCTCCAGTCCTCCAGCCGCTGAAAGATCTTCGGATTAAGGCTTGGCCTGAGGTGCCCAGACCCAACCCAGGCCGTGCCGGAGGCACGCAGCTCCGAGCAGAGTCAGGGATGTGCCCCTGGATGGCAAGGCCCTTTGTCTGAGGCCCTGGAAGGAGAAAGGTGGCTCTAGGTCAGTGGTTCTCAACCTTCTGGCCCTTTAAATACAGTTCCTCATGTTGTGACCCAACCATAAAATTATTTTCGTTGCTACTTCATAACTGTAATGTTGCTACTGTTATGAATCGTAATGAAAATATCTGATATGCAGGATGGCCTTAGGCGACCCCCGTGAAAGAGTCGTTCGACCGCCAAAGGGGTCGCGACCCACAGGTTGAGAACCGCTGCTCTAGAGCATCCTCTCAGTGATAACGGGGTGCCTGGGAACCTTCAGGGCATGGCCCCACAGCCCGAAGGTGCCAGTAGCCAAGTGTAGAGAGGAACTGGCCCGAGTGACTGGAACCAAACATGCAGAAGAGCCGCAGTGTCTGAGAGCTGACGGGCAAGTGCATGTGAGCGTGGAGTACAGGGGACCGAGGCTTTAAAATGGAAAGGACCTCGAGGCTCCCACCTTCCTTCAGGCAAGAAGAGGTAGAGAGCTACTCCACCGCCTAAGGGGACACGCTTTCCAGTGCCCGCTTCCGGAGTGGGAAGGATGATGGAGGAGGAAGACCCCCACTGGGGGCAGCGGGGAGCACGGGGGACTGCGGATCGCCAGGGGCACACTTCCCCAGGGTAGAGGCACTGGCACTTCCGCCCCGCAGGCTTCGGGTGCTGGAACAGTGGCTGCGATGGCCGTGATCCCAGCCCTGCCCCACTGTGTGCTGGGTGTGCGCGGGGCAGGGACCGGCTTCTTTAGTTCCTAAGACTCTGGGTCAAGAAGAGCCGCGTCCAGAATGAACGCAGAGCACACAGGACCTAGACCCTGACACTGCTGACTGGCTGGAGAGATGGGGTCGTGGACGAATACACTGCAAGGTATTCATCGAGGACGTCACCTGGCCTACGCATTATCGCTGAGAAATGCTCTCTCCCTCCCACTCCCGTGGACGCGTGCCTTTCCTGACATCGGCCGTGATGGTTTGGCCAGATGACTTGGTTTGGCCAAAGGAATGAGGTGATACCGATGGTGTGCTGGTCCTCAAGGACCCGCACTTTCTTCTTGCTTCTGGTGCTTCTGCCGTTGCCACAGAAAGCAGTGCTCAAGCCAGCGTCCTGGTCCTGGGGGAGGACGAGAGCCACAGGAACAGACCCAAGCTGCCCAGCCCGGCCAGCGAGAGTAGCTGCCCCCGGCTGCCCACAGAGCTGCCGGCCCGCCCAGCCCAGCCCAGCCCAGCCCAGCCCAGCCGGGATCGGCCGCCTCGGCTGACCCAGGTTCAGGAGCTACTACATGCGCCTTGCTCCAGAGGTTGAAGGCTTCGTGGACATTGCCAGGCAGCATGATGGCGGCCATCGTTCACTGACGGAGGATGCGTCACTTGAATGGCCACCCCGGGGTTCATAAGCTGTGGCTCATCCCGCCACAGGCAGCACTGAGCAACTTCGGTCCCCCAAGCAGAGCAGAGCTGCTTCCAGAAGCTTAACACGAAGCGAAGGTGCTGAGCCTGGAGTTGAGCTTTGAAGGAGGCGGAGGAAAGGGCGGCCAGGCACGCTCGGTCCCCCTCCCGAGTGTGCAAGCAGCGGGCGAGCCCCGGAGGAGCGGGGCCAGGAGGCAACCTGGCTGCGTCTTTCCTCTTGGAAACTGCCGCCGGGGAAGAGGGAGCTCCCCTGACACGGGTGGACTGGGGACGCTCTGCAGAAAGGAAACGGCTAGGTCCCATTTTCCTTGGTGTTGCCTACGCTTCTGTACCTGGTTCCTTCTTCAGGCCATGTGGTCCCACCCACAGCATGGCTCTGAGTTTAAACACCCCCCACGGCTTCTTCCCAGTGCGCCACCCAGTGCCTTCCCTCAGGGAGAGGAGGGGGCATGCAGGATGCACCCCCCCCCCCAGCCCAGCAGCCTCTTCCCTGCTGTCCTGTCCCAGTCCAGAGCTCACCCCAGGCCTCACACCCTAGTCGCTGGCCCCACTGGGTGGCCGTCTCTTCCCGTGGTTGACTGATCTCTTATTAGACCTGAGCCTTCCTGTGTACCTGCCAGGGTCACCTCCCAGGACGGAGCCCTGCTCAGGGCTGCTCCCCATGGACCCCTTCGCCCACGGCTGCTGCTGGTATCCTAGGCTCCAGCGTCCTGCCCTGACTCTCTGCACCAGAGCACAGCCGGCCTGCCTGCTCTCCCCGCCCCACCCAACTCCCACGCCATCGGACTGCCCCTCAGAGAGGAGGCTGTGGGTGAGGGGTGCTGGGCTGCCCCTCAGAGAGGAGGCTGTGGGTGAGGGGTGCTGGGCTGCCCCTCAGAGAGGAGGCTGTGGGTGAGGGGTGCTGGGCTGCCCCTCAGAGAGGAGGCTGTGGGTGAGGGGTGCTGGGCTGCCCCTGGTCAGAGAGGAGGCTGTGGGTGAGGGGCGCTGGGCTGCCCCTCAGAGAGGAGGCTGTGGGTGAGGGGTGCTGGGTGCCCCTGGTCAGAGAGGAGGCTGTGGGTGAGGGGCGCTGGGCTGCCCCTCAGAGAGGAGGCTGTGGGTGAGGGGTGCTGGGTGCCCCTGGGTCTGGGACGAATGGCTCTCCAAAAGTCAGCGCAAATATTCAGAGCAGCCCCTGGAAGAGCAGCCAGATACTGACTGTGACATGCTAACCCCACCCCCACCCCAGAGAGGCAGCACACACACAGCCAGCAAATGCATCCGCATTAAATATTTCTGGGCAAATGTGAAATAGTCCATTCTGACACTGTTGAGAAAAAATACAGCCTAATTTCTGTTCAAATGCACCAAATTTACTGCCCAGGTCCTCATTAACTGTGTCAAGGAGGAAGGAGATAGACAAAATAAATTATGAAAAAATTACTTTTTTAATGTACAAAAGGACTTATTTACAAGTTGAGCATGTCATCTCAATTCATAGCAGGTAGAAAAAGCTAAAAATGTTTTGGAGATATAAACGTGGCTGGATGACTCACCTACAGTATTTTCAGGGCGATGTCTTCTGTACAGACTATATACAGGGAGGGATGGTGTGACATCCTAGCTCAGGGAATGAATGACCACCAGAGCCCAGACCCCGCCCCCTCCCACCCCCCTCCGGGGCTGTGATTTGGACTTGGCCTTTCCTTGGAGCCTAACAAAGCCCTGGGTGTTCTGGGACGCAGCGGGCCCGGGTAAGGTCACAGTCAGTATCAGGCTCCTAGTGGTACAGTTGGTTTTGGCAAGGATGCCACGAATTCAACACGGGAAGGTGTGGGGCGTGTGCTGGGGAGGATGCACCCACTCACCCTACTATGTTCAGGAATGTCTCCTGACGCCAGTTCCAAATCCCACCTGAAGGAGGAATCACCTCCTTCCCCTCCCGCCCCCCCAGACGCCATGCACATCATCATTCTCTGGAACGAATGAGGGCAGAGGGAGGGGATCCAGGGGTGCCGGGACTCGGTAGGGACCCCGGGCTGCTGGAGAGTGGGCAGCGTGGCCGGAGGCACCTGGAGAGGCCGCCATCAGGACCTGGGGCAGAGTGGGCGGGCAGTGCCCTGGGGAAACAGGGCTGGGTAAACATGTGACTCTTCCTACGCCAGGCGCCCGAGGCTGGGCCCTGTGCACTCACTTCCTAAAGGTCCATCCACGCGTGGGCCCCTTGGTCACCCGTGGCCGCAGCAGCTCCAGCAGCCCCGGGGCATTCAGAAGGGAGTGTTCCTTTCTGGGAGGGCCACGTTTTACACGCGTGGACGCTGTAAACACGCCTGGAGGCCCGCCGCCTCTGAGCACCCCCGAGCGTCATGGTGTCTTCTTTCCCTTTTCTGGCAACACTTCCGTCCTTTATTCATTCTACACACGCGGGCCGTCTGCAGGTGCACACCTGGCTCTGCGGGTGGAGATGCCGGCTCTACCGCCCTGGAATCAGGGTGTGCTCCGAGTCACCTGGGTAGACTCTCTCCTCCGGGACCAGGGACGGTAGCGGCCTCACGCCAGCTTGCGGAAGGACTCCAGGGCCAGCAACTCCTCCTCCTTGCAGGATCGGAATAGAAGCTCATCTTCCTGGATTACAACATCCAGTACGGCTTTCTGATTCAAACCCAGATGTGTTCCTCTGCCCTTTTCCTCGTGTACTTGGAAAGCCCTGGCCGGTGGGACCCCTCGGTGACGGGCGAAGGAGCCGGAGCAGAGTGGTCCCCTAAACACCAGAGGCGGGAGCACTGTGTAAACGAGCCTTCCTGTTGAGGTTTGTTCAGTGTTCCGAAAGTAACCCCAAAGAAGACCAGACGGTGCAGGTAAACTTGCCTTAAAGCATTGTGGTCTGAACCACAGCACCCTCCCCCCCCCCCCCCCAGGCCTAGTAATACTTTTTTGGAAAAAGACAAAATGGATGACACCCCACTCTGGAAAAGATTCCTCGGGGTCCCCTCCACCAGGGGCCGGGGCCTTAGGTCATCATGTTGAGGAACTTGCTTTCCTCGGCCAGGCTGGTCAGCATGGAGCTCATGTCCCCGACGGCCATGTTGCTGATGCCCGTGGGGACGGAGGGCAGAGTCAGGGAGCTCCGGGGGGTGGTGAGGCGGGAGGAGCTCTGGGAGAGGCTGTGGAGGAGGCTGGGGCTCAGGGCGCCCGAGAGCAAGCTCGAGTGATCGCCGTCATCCATGATGGCGTCGAAATCGATCTGGGAGGCCTCCAGCAGCTGGGAGTCCACAGTGCTGGACACCTGGTTGACGCCTGGTGAGGACAAGGGCTGGGGCTGGAGGCCCTCTGGGCAGGCCTGTGGCTGCGGCGGTTGGGGCCTCATGACCTGGCAGCCTACGTGGTTCTCCAGGCCTCCATTCTGTTCATACATGTGGATTTGGCCATAATAGTAGAGCATGTTGTGGTCTGGGCTCCACCCGTGTCTGTGGGGCAGCTGAGAGCAG